GTAAAATTGTTATATTTCAGTTGTTCTGAGTGAAATTTTATGTCTGTGTATGTGTGAAGAATATGGATTACATTTGGTAATCTGATAAATTACTAAAGTCCTCATAGTATAGGATATATTGCTGGCTGCCCTCAAAATTCCTGCTATGCTAGAAGGTTAAATAATGGCAACTAGTCAAAAGTTTATTAACTGAATAAATTTTAAAGTTTATTAAATTTAATAAACTTTGGTACAGTTGCCATAATTTCATCTTTTTACACGCTTTTGGTCTGAATGATTGATTCTATACTTACATATTTTTCCTGATATATTGGTAATTGAAAAGTTATTGTTTAAAGAGCCATGATTATGTTTAGTTTACATGCTTCACACATAGTTCTCTTTCATTCTGCCTGCTAATTGCAAGATTGTAAGAAGGCATGCCTTCTGAAAATGTACTCAAAAACAAGGAGAGGCTCTAAAACAATATATGGTTTCTCTCAGGGCCTACGCTATCCAATGTGAATTTGGTAATTTGGAGGAGGCCCTGCTAAAACAGTTAGTGTGTGGAGTCAGAGATATGCGACTCCAACACAGGTTGCTAGCCCAACAAGAATTAATATTACAAGGAGGTGTTGATGAGGCAAGGGTGACAGAATTAGCTGAAAAGTCAATTGCTGAAATTCAGCGATACACAACGGGTTCAAAACGGCCCTAAATGCGGGATAGTAAATCAGCAATTTGAATTTGATGAGGGGGAAAATGAGGAAGATGAGGACATTAGCCACCTCAAATCCAATCCAATTAATAGAGGACAACGACTAGCCAAGTTGCCTCATAGTGACTGGCAGGCTAGATTGCCCCCAGATGGCTACATAGGAGTGGGGGAAATCACCTCAGATCCAACTGCCATTTTAAAACAGCCACCTGTCGGCGTTGTGGAAAAAAGGGGCATATTGCTGTTGTTGATCAGTCAGTTCTTCCTCCTAATACCCCAAAAGATTAAAAAACCAAATAAAAAGTTTGGCAGCCCTGCTGGGTGGTGCAGAAATACATATTTTGAAGTTGAAAATGATCAATGTGAGGCAGAGGAAGTCAGTAATGCATCATTCTCAACGAAGAAATAAAAAAAAATCTGACAATTTTAATTGAAGGTTCTCCATGTAGAATGGAGATCGATACTGGCTCTGCCAAATCAATTATTTCCGGGTCTATCCTGAAGAAATTAGTTCCTACTCTCACCAAAAGTCAGCTGTCAAATTATGAGAGCCTATTAAGAGATTATCAAGGCAACCAGATTCAAATTTTGGGGAAGGCATCAGTCCTCATCGAGTACAACTCATTTTCGGGACATTTGCCTTTAATTGTCGTGGCCAAGCCTTTAGCCAGTTTATTGGGCATTGATTGGTTCAGGTTCTTGGGCTTTCCATTGCTGGTATAAATGCCTGTTCCAAGTTGGACATCCAAGAACAGCTAGCCTTGGAATTCCCCAATGTATTTGACAATTCATTGGGTAAATACAAAGGAACTCCCATTTCTCTCAGTTTAGAGTCCAATATCGCTCCCATTTGTCTGAAAGCTAGGCAAATTCCTTTCACATTAAGGGCTAAAGTGGAAGCTGTGTTAAACAAATTAGTGGAGCAAGGAGTTCTGGAACCCAATGATCATTCACAATGGGAAACACACATTGTTACCCTGGTGAAAGTAGATGGGTCTATTAGAATTTGTGGGAATTTTAAATCTACCATTAATAAAGCATTGCAAGCAAATCCATGCCCCATTCCTGTAGTTCAACACATATTACATTCATTGGGTCGGGATCGGATTTTTGAAAAAAATGGATATGGCACAGGCTTATCAACAGCTACCTGTTGATGAGGCCACTGCCAATGCTCAAACCATAATGACACATAAGGGAGCATTTCGCTGCCGTCACCTTCAGTTCGGCAGGTGCGTGGCTCTTGGTATATTTCAATATCTAATCGGTTAAATGGAGTAATTCCTTATTTTGATGACATCCTGATCGCCGCACAGTACCGGTCAGACCTTGTCATCAAATTAAGAGCAGTTTTACATTATTTCAGGCAGGCAGGACTGTGATTAAAGCGCAGTAAATGTAAAATTGGAGTTTCCTCTGTTGAATTTTCAAAATTGATAGGTAAGAGATTCACACAACTCAGGGAAAACATGAAGCTATTCAGAATGCGCCAACTCCCAAAAATAAAAATGAATCACAATCTTTTCGGGGGCTCCTTAATTTTTATGCCATGTTTCTGTCACATAAAGCATCTGTGGTTGAGCCCCTGCACAGGGGCTGGACAGCTCCGCAATTTGGCAGTGGGGAAGCAAGGAGGCAACTGAAGCTGTCAAGAAACTTTTGGCATCTTCGGCAGTCCTAGTGCAGTACAGCGAGGAACTATCCCAACCCTCACTTGTGAGGTTTTCCCTTATGGGGTGGGAGCTGTATTGGCGCATGTTTTATCCTCGGGTCAAGAAGAACCTATTGCATATTTTTCACACACGTTATCCCCAGCGGAACAAAAGTATGCGCAAATTGACAAAGAGACATTGGCAGCCGAGGCTGGAGTCAAATGATTTCATGATTGTCTCTACGGCTACCACTTCCTATTACTGACCATAAACCTCTATTAGGCATTCTATCGGGAAATCTCTAACCCCATGCCTGCTATTATATCTCCCCAAATGCTACGGTGGTCTGAATTTCTTTCGGCCTATTCATACAGCCTTATCCATAAGCGGGGTAAGCAAGTAGGGCATGCGGACACCCTCAGCCAGTGTCCACTTCCTCTCCCAGTCTGCGATCCGGCACTGGCTGCAAAGATTTTTGCTATTGAAGAACTGGTTTTGCCGGTGACCCCTACTGACATAGCGCACTGTACAAAATCAGATAAAATCCTAGTCCAGGTTTTGGAGTGGGTAATACAGGGTTGGCCAGCAGGACCTGTGGGGGAAGAGTTCTTACCATATAAAAGATGGCAGTTTGAGTGTCGGAGATACAAGGCTGTCTTATGGACTTGCCGGGTGATTATATCTTCAAGTCTCAGAACCAAAATATTAGCTAGACTGCATGAAAATCATCCAGGCATTGGGCATATGAAGGCTTTGGGACGCAGCACAGTTTGGTGGCCCAAGTTAAATGAAGCCCTAAGCCATTGGGTAGGAAACTGTGAAATCTGGCAGGCTTCTTGCTCAGTTCTGCCTGCGGCGCCTCCTAGGAAATGGGATGCTCCCCATGCTCCCTGGTCGAGGCTACACCTCGACATCGCAGGCCGAGTCCAAGGGCTGATGCTATTAGTGATGGTGGATGCTTTTTCTCGGTGGGTAGAAATTGTACCCATTTCACCATCACAGAGGCCACCATAAGAGTGTTACAGTATTTACTTGCTTGCCATGGTCTCCCTGTTGTGGTCGTCTCTGATAATGGACAGCAATGGACAGCTACAGTTTTCCAGTCTTTCCTGGCCTCCCTAGGCATTAGACAGGCTCTGACAGCTCCTTATCACCTGGCCAGGAATAGCCAGGCAGAAAGGACTGTCCGCTCAGCAAAGGAGGCCATGATGAGAATGGGGGCAGGACATATATATGATAAAATTAATAGATACCTAATGACCCAGCATACCATGCCCTGCCCCGAGACAAATAGGAGTCCGGCTGAGTTACTTATGAGTCGGCGGCTCCGCACCACTTTAGATAGGCTTCATCCCCTTATAATAATAGCAAGAATCCGACGATAGAAAACAGCTGTTGGACTTCTAGAATCGGGGACTGGGTCTTCACCCAAAATTTCTATGTAAATCTCCGATGGGTTCCAGCCATTATTACTCAAATAATGGGAGCATGTTCTTACAGGATCTTATTAATAGACAGAAGGCTATGGCGGCACCACATCGATCAGCTGCACCACTGCTCAGCATGTGCAAATTCGGCCATTGAGGACGCTCCAGTTGACAACGAGGTACCAGATGCCGCCTACCGGCCATCGCCATCACTCAGTGCCGCACTTCAACAACTGCCCTGCAGGATTTTGACAGAGCACTCACTGCGGAACCAGGATCTTCAGATGGATTGACTTCGGCGTGGACAGTTGAGGACCATTCCCCATTGGCCATCGCACATGACTTCCTTCCTGTTCCATCGATGACTCCAACCCAAGAACTGTGCCGTTCCGGAAGAAACAGACGTCGCCCTGCCTACCTTGCTGAGTACGCTTGCGCGATCCAGGTGGAAAGAAGTGTTACATCCCCACGGCTGCTACAGCCACGGAATGTCAGCTGGCAGAAAGAGATTCCTGATTGGTGAAGATGCAAGTCCCAGTGGGAAAAAAAGCGTTTGATGATTGGTTGGCCGTTTGACAGCTATGGTATAAGTAGGTGTCAAACGGGCTTACGTTGTTCCGTTTTGCCTGTTCTCTTTCAGAGTTGTTAACAATAAAGTTAGTTCCTTGCACCAGTCACCTCAGTCCTTATTACTCGCAGAGTCCACTACAGGTACATGCTTCCATCCCCTATATCAGTGATGGCTAACCTTTTTCCCATTGTGTGCCAAAAGCAGGGGGAGTGCAGGGGAGTTATGGGTGGGTGTGCCCATACCCATAATTCCAAGTGTGTGACTCCACTGCGTGCATGCATGTACAACCCCAGCCCCCGCGCATGTGACACCCACCCTCCACTTTTGGCGCATGATGGACTTGTTTTTCACCCTCCCCAGGCTCCAGAGGCTTTCTAAGAGCCTGGGGAAGGCGAAAACGGCCTCCCCTGCCCACCCCAGAGGACGTCCGAGGTCTTCAGGAGGCTTCCCTGAAGTTTTTGGTGGGCGAAAAACGGCCCTACAGACAACCCAGAAGTTCAGGAATGGATTCCCAGTTTGCACGTTGGGTTATTTTTCGCTTTCAGGAGGCTTTAGGAAACTCCCAGTAGGACGAAAAACAGCCAAAAATGAAGGGCAAAGTTAATTGGCCAGCACGCGCATGCATGCTAGAGATCACAGGGCAACACCTCGCATGCCTTAACAAAGGGTTCTGCGTGCCACCTACGGCACACGTGCCATAGGTTCGCCATCAATGCCCTTTATAGTATATGTTGCTTGCTGAACAGTCTTGAGATTTCAACAATTGTTACTTTTTTGGTTGAATTTTAATAAAGCTATTGTTCAACTAGGCATTTGCTTTATGGACCAATAGTTATGCTTGATTTTTTTAACATTTAAAAGAAATTAATAGCTTTTAATTATAACACAGTTATAAATACCAACTCTATAACGGCTTTCTTAAAAATTTCAAATAAAAACTTTTACATATCAGTTCCGAAGCAAGGAAATTCCCAGATTCAAAGTAGAAGTACCACCATATTGTATTTTATATTTCTCATTTTACCAGATAACTGCACTTTTGTTTTCCCTTTCCTTCAAGTGAAAAACAGGCCTTATCTGGATCCAGTGGCAGTGCTCCAGCCCAGTTGCATTGCTTGACTTTTTAATTTTCCACAATTTTCTAGTATTTTTGGCTTGGGTACTATTTGAAATTTAAATAATGGCTAGATGTAGCTACGTCTTTCACTGCAGAGAGTGCTGTATCAAAGGAAAAAATGCTTCAGGAGGTCTATGCCCAATGATATCAGAGAATGATGTCAAATGTATCTCATATTTAGCCTAATAATCAGAGCATTAAGAATGCAAGCCAGAAAGTAGAAAAGCAATTAGGTAAAAATTGCTATAAATTGCTAGATTTATGTTTTGAAGTGCTGAAATCTATAATAGCTTTAAAGGTAGTTTGAAGCAAGAAAGAAGTTTGGCCTTTATGAGACATTCACCTCCACCCACCCCCGGTGAATAGGCAGGACCAGAATAAAGAACTTGTAACTACCTTCTGGCTTTTAGCTGTGCCATTGTTCCTAGAGGTCTGCATTAGTGATGAGCATTGGCAATGGTTTTATTAAATTGGGTATTCAATTTATATTTACCAACTGCAATTTATGTTTTATTGAATTTATAATAATCGTTGCAGGGTAGCGTATTGTTTTGTTTATTTTTTTAACTGTTGCGTAAATTATTGCTGACAACTTTTAGAGGACTGCATGGGTGGGATTGTGGCTGTGAGGCCCTTTTATTGGGTCTTGTATGCTAACTGAAACTACATCTAATACGTTGCAAGCAAATTCATCGGAAAGAGATTTATTCTGAGTAAATTTTTCTGAATTCAATGGAACTTGTTATCTGCTACATTTGTTTAAATCTGCAGTCTTGGAATAGCAAAAGTGGCTTACATTTGCCACAAATCAAATCCTTCAAAATATATTAGTTCTTGTCTATTATGCTGAAAATGCAATGTCTGCTTTCACCTGTATTGCTTATATTCTGATAATATCACTTAATGCCTGAGATATTTCAGCCTAAAATAAAACCTATACAGTATTAAATACAGACATTTAAAGGAAAAAACATTGTGGTAATACTTTCATTGTATGATCACATGATTGTAATTCTTTCTGGTGAGGGATATGAATCAGATCCATTTCCATCATGTATAAATTGTCTTTTTTCCAATCCTCTTCTGATCTTTCTCAGTTTCCTTTTTATACACGGTAGAAGCAAAATAATCTTACCAAGAATGACCACGCAAGGCAAGACAAGTGCAAGAACAAAATTTGGTGGTGTGTAAAATCTGTAGCATTCTTCTTCAAAGGCTCTTTTCCATCCATAAATTAATACATGGAAAGTACTTATGAGAAGAGCGACATATCCAAGGGTTGACTTTAAGATTTGAAGATGAGAAACAAATACAAATTAAAATCCTGACATTATGATTTGCACATATAGTTAACTATATGCTATAGCTAACTATATTACAAAAACTTAAAAGTATTATAAATGTAGGTATAAATAAATTAGGTATCTTCCATATTTTAGTATACAAAACATGCTGAATAAAAATTCATCTGAACATGGTTAAAGGATTTCTGGATAGACAACAAAAATAGTTCAGTATTTTGAAAATTGGTCTAGTAATTTTTAGTGTGATGACCCCAATTAACTTTTGCAATTAACAAAAAGAAAGTGAAAAATGAATGGAAACTTCTTAAATATTCAAATGCTCACAGTGGGAAATATAAAAGATTTCTTTGACAGTGGCTTGGGGAAAATTGAAGAGGGTGGACATGTCAAAACAACGAAAAGGGAGAAGACAGGAATAGAGAAGTGGTACAAAATATTTACTAGGAAAAAAATCAGACAACTAGAAATTGTTATATGGGAAACTATAAAGCTGAGATAACGGGTTTATTCCTAAATATGACAATAAAATTGAGTTGCTAATTGATTGAATATGATAATGGAAAGATAATTAAAGAAAAGTTAAAATATATGGAATATGGACAAATATGAAATTGATATGGGGAGATTGTAAAGCAGAGGTTTGTGATTCACTTTTATATATGATAATTCTAATTGATTGAATATGACAATAGAAGGACAATTAAGCATGGATTAAAATATATTAAACATGGACATATATAGAACTTCTAAGATGATGAGCAAAATGAGATGTGTACTGCTTGTTATTCTATATAGTAGACTAAGGGAATTGTAATGAACATTGACCAATAAGGATTGCTATTTGTAGACAATTAAGGGTAACCTAAACCAAGTTATGGAAAAATGGAGAGGGAACATGAAATATACTTACAATGCAAAACTATTGAGATTTAAAGACAGAATCACAAAGCAGGAGCGTGTAAGGATGCATAATTATATAAATATAGTGATGAGAATAGCTGGAAATTGTAACCAGGTCTACATCTCAGCCAAAATTAGGCTGTTTGAGGGGGTGGGGGGGGTTTAAAAGCACAATGACTATATATGTATACTTTTTTTTCTCTTTTAAAAAAAGGAGGAGGAAGATATATGTTAAAAGGGGAAAGAAAGGAAATAGGGAGGGGGAGGAGAGAGGGAGAAGAAAGTGATGAATAAAGTACAAATATGGTGTATGGAGAGCAAAAGAGCCAATAATTGTTTTTGGGAGTTGATGGTAAGACGTGCGTGTATGCGGCAACAAAGACCAGTTGGCCAGCACTCATGCACTGGAAACCAGGCACTCAATTTCTCCGGGCATGCATGTGCACCGGGGACCTGTTCTTCCAGTTTCCGGCACTCCCACGTGCATAAAGATCAGATCACACAAGCTTGAACCTCTCAACATTGAATGCTACTTAAGTCTTTTACTAGTTAGTTTAATTACATTTAGTATTTCAGTTTAATACACACCTGAATAAAACTGAATTCCCTCCAGTTTAATGACCTGTTTACTGATGGAATGGAAGTCACAGCCAACAAAGAAAGCAGCCCAAGGCTCATTATTCCAAAAGAAACATACATTTCTATTCGCCATACTTCTTCCTCATTCCAGGAATTTTCAATATTTTCATGGACCTGGAAAAAGAGATTATGGAATCTTTAACAATTTTAACCATTTATAAAAAAATTATTTAAAACTAACTGGAAAATCTGAAGTGTTTTAAAGTGTGCCTGGTGAACTATCATTAAGGGGAGCAAAGAGGAGTGAGTTCTTTAATTAAGTAAGGCTTTAGAAACTTCACTACATCTGGCCCTTCCATGATTAGAAGAAGAAAAAATTATGCAAAATAAGTAATCAATTCTAATTCCTCTTATTTTGAATATTTTGCTTATAGCACTAAATCAGGGGTGGGTTCCTATACCGGTCAGTACTAGTTCTAGGCCGCAAGTTGCTGGCGCATGCACAGTTGACTAAATATTGTTCTGTGCATGTGCAGAAACATGTTGGAAATGGCATAAGAGATTGGGCACTAGTTCAGGGGTGTGTGGCGAGCCTGGGTCGCTGCCAGTTCTGTGACTCAGGTCTCAATTCTGCTACCAGTTCGGCCGAACCGGGCCAAACTGGGAGCAACCCACCTCTGCACTAAATTGATCATTTGGGGAGTTATGAGCAGTTTCAAGAAACAAGAGGGTGAACATTATTGAAGCTAAATAAATTTTTAAAAAAAGAAATGAGTAATACTTTATATATTATTATTCATCACTTCATAATTATGTGACTTTATACATAGTATAAATGTTAACATATTTAAAAACCATAATTGAATGTTTCTTTCATGTAGGAAGGTATTTAAGGCAACGATCAACACAACTCAAATTACTAATCACACATGCAGAGTATTGTGAATTACTTGATCCAAAAAGGACATTTTCCTTACCTGTTGATAAGCTGCATTTAAAAATAGGTATCGTTCTGACCTCCTCATAGGCAAGCAAAGGCTGTAAACAACATGAACTGTTGCAAAGAAAAAACTAAGTAACCCAAGCTGTTTTCTACACTGCAGCCAGTTCTCTAACCAGGATGGAAACGATTTGTATTTAGTACCATAATAAAGTTGATAAGCAGCTGCCAGGAGCCCTGATAAATACACTAGAGATAATAAAGTAATTGCAACAACTGGCAATGTCTTGTTCACAATCTCAATAGGAATCTTATAAAAATCACTCTGATGATTTCTCACGTAAGGATGTATTACATCTCTAATAAAAGAATAGATAAAAAAGAAGGTAGCTAGGCCAACAGCCACTATAACTGGTCCTTTCCAGAGTGTGAACAACTGAAGAGGTAAATTTTCAATCTCCCTTGCGGATGATAAAGTGCCCAAATCAATAGGAATAAAACTGAGCTGACGAGCAAGTTCAATAACTTGATGTCGCGCTTGAATGTTGTTACTGCATACATAAACCTAAAACAAACAAACAAATTATCAATAACTGCATGGACTAAATAGTCAAACTAGAGTATGTATTTCCAAGTATGAGATTTCCTGTAATTATTTTTAACTTTACAGGCATCCATATTACAACTTAAAAAGGCATTTGTAATTATTTTATCTATATTTTATTTTTATTTCATGTTATACAAGTCAAGGGTGCAAAACGTATTGTTCAGGACCATACACAATTCCCTCAAATCTTAGTTACATCCCAGAGTCCCATCAAATATTGATACTAAGGACAAGTTATTAAATACATGGGATGTGACCAGTTTACCTTGAATACTTAAAATATTTTTTAAAAGTATCTTTCAGACATACATGTCTTTTTTCTACACAAGTATGAAAAATCCACAAATGCTGCCTTAATGAAATCATTGCAACCAAACCTCTTTAATCTTGCTCTTAAAGCAGATACATCTTTTTTCAGATTGATAGAGAAACACAAAAAAGACTTACATGGTATATGTGCTGCATTAATGTATGATCTAAAGTATTTCTTACAAATTATTTTCAAACAATTCTAGTTGCATTACTTATACTTACTTTAGTTTTATTTAAATTGAAGGTGTGTTGTTCAACCGTCTTTTGCTCTGGACTTATCCACTTTTGATTGTGGATGGATGAGCCAATCAAATATCAAATGAGGCTCTCAATCTGAAAACACTCATCTGTCCTCACGATAAAATTGAATGCAGAAGTTGCTATACCATGAAGATGAGAAATAATCTCACTTCATTTTTTAGGTCTCATATGAAAAACTACATCATTTTGCAGCAACAGCTTCAAGGGATTTCTCATGTATACTTGATCATCGTGTTCAGTTTTAAATGCTAAAATAGATAACTTACCTGTCTGCTTGCATCTTTTGGTCCTACTTGCAATGCCCATGCTGAAATAACATTGAACCCTTTAACAACAAAGGAGTCTGGAAAAAGGGATGCCAGGTATTCCGCATTGGATTCTGGATACTGGTTAATTTTCATGTTGTTGCTGACATCTACAAGGATTTTACTAACAAGAAGATGCTTGAGATCCCACAAAGCTGCATAGTGTTCTCTGCGTATAGCGATAAAAATTATGTTTGCTTTTGCGATAGCATCTTCATGATGAGTGACATCAACAACATGGGGAAAGAATTCCGACACAAATTTAGGGTTTCTGCTTCCTATTACCACATGAAACCCACATCGGATAAGCCTAGTTGTCAAGGATTTAGCGAAGTCCCCACTTCCAATTATGCCAACTGTAAGCTTACTGGTGTCTTTGATGTAATTTCTGCCATTTGGTAAGAAAGATTCATTTAAGACTTTAGGACTTCCCATCATAGAAATTGATTCCATATTTTGTCACAAGTGTAATAAGGATATTTTCTAAAAGAAAACAGAAACAATTAATTTTTCACTGATATATATTGAAACAAATTTCCTATGCCAACACACACAAGATTTAGAATAAGATGTAACACACATGTCTGCAGCATCAAAGTCCTAATTTCTCTCCACTAAGCTAGAAAGGAAATCCCCCTAACCCTTGTAAAAAATAGGCAGGAAAAAATAGGCTTTGATTCTACCTTTCCATATATGCAGAGTAAAAACACTAGAAAGAGAAAATAATTCAACAAACGTCAAACCTAGTTTATGGAAAACAAAAATAATCTCAGAGAGCTTTAGTGCGCTCTCAATTTTAGAATTAAAATTAACTTTCCATGAGAAATCTGGTTTTTTTCAGGAATATATTTGTCTGCCAAAGTAGGCCTCACTTTGACAGATACACTATATTTGAAGAAGAATTTAGTTGCTTTCTCTATATTTCATTTTTAAGTAGAAAAATAAAAATGGTAACTGATATAAACAACACTATTGCAATATATGGTCCCTGCTGCTATTGTAATAGCCAACTAGGATTTCCCATAGATAATTACATTTCATATGTCATATTGACGCCTGTACTATCTAGTAATGCAGTAAACATTTTTAGTTCCATTGTTAAATTAATTTATCAAAATTCAAAGTGAGGAAAAAAAGTGAGGAAATAGGGAAGGAAAAATGGAAAAGGAAAAAGTGTAGCATAAAAGGGAAAAAAGAAAAGTGTTAACTTCTGACTTTTTAGCGTGGGATAAGATGATAAACATGCAGCCTCCATTTTCTACTTTTACATAATATATTTTAGCCATTTCTACAACAACCAATACAATAATATTTGAACAACCAGGGGGAATACTTATAAACCAATGTCTCCTATGGATTGAAATCTAGTCAGTTTGGTAAAAAAAGAAGAAGACATAAACATAATCATAAATCTGTTTATACTGTAATAGAAAATCTCAAAACTTTTTGCTATGTGTTGATGTTTGTGCTATATACTGTTTTTAAGGCAGATACATCTCTGAATATATTCCAATTTTTCCAGTGAAGACAGTACATAAGAAGCTCTGTGTTAAAGGCATTGAGGAATCTGATAAAAAATAGTAACTGCTGTGTTTGCTTAACAATGGTTATACTATAAAGCACTGTGGGCAGTATATAAGTCAAACTAGTATTGCTATTGCTTTAACCTTTGTAAACCAATGCAAATGGAATAATCAGAGCAACAGGCAGTTTAACAAGAGAGCAGAATGTACCCCCAAGTCCAATCATTTTACAAAAAAGAGAGAGAGAGAGAAGTCTGGAAGAGCGTGGATGAACAGAAGCTGGGAAACAGTAATTTCTCTTTATATTTTTCCCCAATTCCTGTGCATCCACTCTCTTCCAATTTTCATTTATTTTTTTAAAAATAAACTATATTTTATTATTAGGAGGAGAATATAACACTGATAGCTTACTGAGAAAACAGAAAACTTCCATCTGTCCCCTCTTCTCAAAAATGTATATATAAGCTTCTTAGTCCAATTTAAGATTAAAATCAAATTGTGAATATTGAAACTCTTACTGAGTATTGTACCACCATCTACTGGTGAGCAAATAAATTCAGTCTGTTTTCTGCTTTTGATTTTGCTAAAGAAATATACAGTTTTTGTATTTATAAGATAGGAGAATCTGAAGTAATATTTAAGATCTATTCCTGCCTGTTTTTTGAATGGAGCTTGCAACATCACATATAATGACAAAGGTGACCTCTGAGTGGAATTATGTACCTCTGTTGTGTAAAATACAAATAAATACAAATATACTGGGGAATGGTATGCAAGTAATCCTTGATTTATGATTGGTTGCTCAGTGACTGTTCAAACTTACATTGGACTCCCCGAAAGATACTTATGATCCAGATTTGAAGTTCTGACAGTCCCCTTGGTCACATCTTAGGTTTTTGGCAACCAACTTGCATTTATGGCCATTTGCAGTGTCTACAGTCATGTGACCATGATTTATGACATTGCAAGAAACTGGAATTTATTTTTTGGCAAAAAGCACTTATAGCAAATTATGGGTTTGCTTAGTAACTGCTGTGTTTGCTTAACAACCCTTGAAAAAAGTTTGTGAAATCATGAACAGCCACATGACCATCACGATTTACAACCATAATTGCAGGATCAATTATGGTTGTAAGTTGAAGACTACCTGTTTTGTACATGAACTTATTTGTTTACTAATTTCTCTTAACCAATCATCTATATCAGAGGTATCAGAGATGTCAAACTCAAGACCCATGGGCTGACTACAGCCTGCAGGGTGCTTAAATCTGACCTACAGTGCTGGCCTGGTAATAGGAAAGAACCAGCCCGCGATGCCTCTGGCTAGCAGGGTGCTGCAGGAGGTTAGCCGTTCCATCTCCCCCCCCCCCCCCAAACCAGCCTGCGGAGAACTACAATACTAATCCAACTCAGTTTGACATCCCTGGTCTATATATATAACTAGAAATAAGCAATGCCAATAAAATATACTTTTCATATTTAGGAGTAATGTATGGCAATAAAATATACTTTCAATATTTCTGTTAACAATCATCTGCATATATAACTAGGAATAATCATCCAATTTAAGCAATCCCAATAAAATATACTTTTAGTATTTAAGTATAACATATAGCAATAAATGTCTTCTTTGTTCTTCTAGAGGTGAGAATATTATGCTAAAATGTTTGTTAAATGCAATTGCTATATATTGACAGTTCTACAACAAACAAAATTCTCAAAATTTGTAGTTCAAGTATTTGATTACTCAAATATTTTCTTTTTCAAAATGGAAGCATTATGCATGTGGAAATTATTAGTCATAAATGTGACTTGAAAATCTAATTAACTTTTGGCCAACAAACATTCTGCCAAAGCAAACTGATGAAATAATATTTTGTGAAACTAATGATGAAAAATAATGAATTACAGCATCCCACGAGGGTGGTATTTTCAAAGGTACACTCCGAATAGTTTTGCAATTTGCCAATGTTTAGAAAATCAGTTACTTTTATTTGCTCTTGAACTACTAACTAATGTCTACAAGAAGATTTATACATTTATATTAAATTATTAATTTTGAGACTTCTAAAAATTACATATTAACTTTTATATTGTAGCTCTATAATCAGAACAGCTGAGACATTTTCTTTAAAATACTCATTTTCTAAACTTTTTTAAAAAAAACTTCCCGATAATGATACAATAGTTAATGCAATACTATTTACTTAGTTTGTCACTTTTAATTCAACAAATAACAGTGGAAGAGTTGCGAAAATCCAGCATTGGATTCAAACTTTTGGGTAAGTAATGCAGCAATAGGATATAAGAGAAAAGTATTGCTTCACCTCTAAATGTGTGAGCATTTAGTAATAGAACTGTAAACAGGATACTCTAGGATACGGTAAATCTCTAAATAACATTTTTTTAAAGAAACACATTTTGACTGATCATTTCCCTACACCTCATCAACTTAGCAACATATTTTTATTACTTATATACCATATTTTTTGGACTATAAGACGCACTTAGAGTGTAAAACGCACCAAGATTTTGAAGAAAAAATACAGTATATTTGCAGAATATTTATTATTTCATTATAGCCATAACCTTTTAAAAATATGGATTCATATTAGTGAAAACATCTGCTACAAATGTTGATAGTCAAAAACAGTAAAAATATGGGAAATGAAGATTGAAACACTATTAGTTGACAGTAAAATCTTAGAACTCATGAAAATAAGAATGGGATGTCTGAAAAATCCAGGCTAATATTTAAAATCAAGGAAAAGGGCATTGGTACTTACCTGATATGCCTCTTCTAATAGGGTGGAGATAGCATTCATACATGGATTGACATTGTCCGCCTTCTGATTGGACTGTGTCTGATAAAAGTTAGTTAAGACACGGCCCTTGTTACTAGCCTTACTCAGCTTTTCGGCGAAGAAGAACTTAGGCAGACTCAATGTGTTATCGCACAAATATTTGGTAAACAAACCTCTCAAACCAGAGAAATGAACCACATATTTACAGTAAAATTTTTGAATACAAACTCTTTGTAACGCATATCAGGCAAACTCCTTCTTACAGCACTAAATGGTATAGCAATGAGATCAGTCAGAGAGGGAGGGAATGGAAGCTATTTCCACCCTATTAGAAGAGGCGTATCAGGTAAGTACCAATGCCCTTTCTCAATAGAGGTGGATAGCATCCATACATGGGACATACCTGTTAAGTCCTCGACCTATGACCGGTCCTAAGTCCTCAATGTACAACCGGCCGCAAGTCCTCGACTTATGACTGACAGCCAGCTACTGTCAAGCTGCGCCTGATTGGCTAAGGTGTGGCTGGCTGAGTACGGGCTGTTCTATTGTTCCTATTGGCTGCCCTGCTTGACAAGTCCTATATAAATAGCTATCAAGCAGGATGAGAGGCTGATTTCCTGTTCCCAGTTGCTGTTTGCCTTGTTAACGTTAATAAACTGTTCTGCATTTACCTCAGCTGTCTGGGCCTCTTCACTGCCGTCTCAGAACACAATGCTGACAACGAGGATGGGATCCTAAGAGGCGATCCACTAGACAGCTGCAAAAGGGGGGAAAAAATCCCCCCCTTCTGAAGTTGATTCTCCTCAGCTGGTTTGTCTATGGCTTCTCTACTGCACTTCACGCCCTTCAGCTCTACTTCAGAGTCATGGCCCGGATTCCTTGAACATTTTGAATGCTTCCTGATAGCCAATAATTATCACCAGCTACCTGAGGACAGAAAATGTGGATTTTTTTCTCAGCTCTTGCGGGCCTGAGATGTTTAACACAGCAAGAGCCCTCGCTTCACCATTGGCAGTCCACGCCTTGTCATGGGACACATTAATCATGAAGCTTAAAAATCATTATGCTCTGACTCCGTCACTGTTATGCGTTCAGGCAATACGTCCAAAAAGAAACAGAGACAATCAGCCAATTTTTACAATCATTTC